GGGAGGGGGTATTATGGTCTAATAAAGGGTTATGTGGGGGTTGTCGTATCCAACTTCGAGAGTTTCAGTTAGATCCTTCCTATAAACACCTCAACCTTAGGGTTGAAGAGAGCTCTCTAATTTTCCTAGAAACACATATGCAAGCTTCTCACCACTCTCTGTGAGTTAGCTCTAAAAATTGTCAAAATACTTTAAAACAACACAAACAACCTTACAATCATAAGGCTACCTTCTTGTACTTTTAGCAAGTACAATTTTCACATGATATTGTCTATTCTGCTCACTCATAGTGATTTCTTATTCAACTCTCATCCTTTCAAACCTTGGTATGTTCACAAATAATTTGGTCCTCCCAAGGTTGATAGTGTCTAGTTACCTTGCAAATATTCTTTCATCGGTTACATCTATAAACCTGACAAAGCCATATATATGTATATTCTTGTCTCTCATTGATAGAATAACCACTTATATAATATTCCTATATTTTTGGAACACATTGATCACAACTTTATCACCAAAGTTGTCAGGTATTTCAATGAAAAAATTAATGTTAGATATATATCTTAGTTTATTCTTCATTTTCTTCTATCGCGATATCAATATTCTGGTAGCTTTTATTCCATGCCCATTTTACTCTCCTTATTATGCGATTTCTAACCTCTCCCTATTATTTATGACTTCTCTTGTTTCTCTCCACACACTTTTAGAGGTAACCATTGAATCATCTTGCTTTATTAATACAAAGAGTAAATATCCTTTTTGGCCCCTTATGTTAACCCTGGGGTTCATTATGACCCCTTAACTAATCATATTGGTCCCTTAACTATTCAAAACGTATAATGTTATTCTTTTTCGTCTAATTAATGACAAAAAAACTTAGAAATCGGCCATTAAATTCATCTATAAATAGATGAAAAGGAGTAAAATAATACGTTTTAAAGAGTTAAAGAACTAATATGAATATTTTCTAAGTTACGGGAAAAAAAAAAAGAAACCTGACGTTAACTAATGATACCAAAAAAGATATTAAACCTAATACAAACGTGTCTATCAAACAAGTTTTTTTCTCATCTCTAAAATAATTTTCAAAAATGAAATTAATAAATATATTTTATTTTACTTTTTTCTTTAAAATAATTTTTAAAATTAATTTATAAAATATATTAAAAAAACAAAATTCATTCAAAGAGCCCTTACTCTCTCGTTTTCTCTCAAATACACTTCTCTTTGATAAATCTATAAAAAATAGTGAATTTTAATTTATATATTAGAACAAAATGGAATGTTGAAATAAAATATAAGAGTATGCGTGTGTTTGATTTTACGGGAAAGAAAATTAATTATAGGTTAAGGCATGTTAAAGATAAAGTGATTTATGTTTGAATAGATTACAGCAAAAGTGATTGGACACATATTTCAATGTAAAAAATCAAGTTTAAACTAAAAAATTACAAATTTTAACTTCAAATAGAATTAATTATGAAAATCATAATCAATTCTATTCGAGGGCAACCATAGATTTCAAAATCAATTATACGCATCCAAAGTAAAAAATGAGTGTTCAAAATATGAAACTAAATATAAACTAAAGATATAATGGTTTAAGTAAAGAGTAAAATTTTCAAAATTTTTTATTAAAAAATTTAAATGAAGCCTAAATGATTAAAGATTTAGGGGATTTATCCCGGCGACCCCCTATTTAACTTGACACTCCACCCAGATCCTATGCATTTATCATATTAACTCTAGCAAATACAAAAATTTTATTTCATAAATTCATGGAAGGATTTCGTGTTTTTTTGAAAATCTATCGTCAATATCAGATATTTCAAGCAAACTACCCATTTATGACTAGTAAGTATCAATTTTTCCTGGCCTTTTCATTTTATACCATTTTTTGTGAGAAAAAACATGCATTATTATTGCATATTTTAAAAAAAGAGAGGCAAAAACTCATGTTTTTCATGCTTTTTATCGGATATTTTGAAATGATCAGTAAAAATGCATACTTTATATCAAATTTTCTTAAATAACTAGTAAAATGCATACATTTTCCTGGTGTTTTGTTGTTGAAAAAACTAGTAAAAATGCACGGTTTTTCCCATATATTTCAAAAAATATGTTATTTGAAAAAATCCATAAAAATGTATGCATTTTTACCTTTTTTTTTAATATAGAAAAATGCATGGTTTGTACCCGTTATTTCAAAAAATATGGTAGTTTAAATTTTACTATTTTTTTCTAGTGAGGATCAGACGATACGATAACTTCTCGACAACGTGCAGAGCTGCGACTGCTTCAACGAGCTGATGTATGATATGTAACACTGAGAATAAGTTACTTTGTTACATTCTATGTTTCTCTAAGATGTTTTAAATTATTTCATTAATTATTGACGTTGAGATAAATAAATAATATATTTAAAATTTTGATGTTTTACTCTTTTGATTTAATGTTATGTTTTATTAAGATGTTTGATGATGAATGTGTAACACCTTAATTAAAGAGTTTAATTGATATATTTTATAAATAAATACTTAGGGTTTTAGGGTGTTACACTCGTCAATCAACTATTGACAATCGTTGTTGAGCGATGGCATAAGGAGACATTTTTCTTCCATCTTACGTTTTATGAGATGATGATTACCTTGGATGATGTCTCATCCTTGTTCCATCATTGTTTGCTAGGTAGTTTCTTCACTACTCTCCTCATTAGTCAAGACCTTGCACGTCTTACTGCTATACAAGACTTGGGGGTTACTAAGGAATAGGTGATATAGGAGTTTAGGTTTAACATGGGTGCTCACTTTCGCCTATCTTGGCTATGGGATAGGTATGGAGAACTAGTGCAACAATCTATGTATGAGGTAGTCGTTAGGGTATACATGCTATATCTTGTAGGATATACCATCTTAGTGGATAAGTCTCATGTATATATCGATGTGAAATACTTGTATCTGTTTAGTGGCCTTGAGCATGTCAAATGGAGATGGGTGTTCTATATGTTGCACTTGGAGAGACGACTATCTTTGAGGCGAGGCAACTTTTCGGTTATATAAGTCTATTTCTGGTATAAAACATTATTATTTCTTATTAATTTAGTTCTTTTTATGACATTTCTTAATTTTCTGATGTTATTGTACAATGTTGGATATACGAGTATTTGTCGTCTATTTGTGAGAGTCAGGTTATTCCTACCACTACTGGGTCTACACAAGTCAAGAGATAGAAGGGTATGCATGCACACCCAGAAGGTGTCGTGGAGTACACAAAAAGGATTGTTTCAATGATTATAGACAATGTTATTTGGACACTCTATGCAGATCATAAAGTGCATCAGGAGTTTGATAACACTTCACTTTTTTTTTGGTTATCTACTTCAGAAGACCTTAGTGGATAAACACTTACCTAAGAGGTGTTTGGGCCAGTTTGGATATGTCTATAACATCCCACATCTAGTTCCTCCTATTCTATCTGAGGGCATCAATATATAATTTGTTGGTAGCGTTATCAACTATTCCCATGCTATTATAGATTGTGCAATGAAGGTTTTGTTCTCTACGTAGTGTGTTGATGAATACTTAGAGTGGTACCTTATTATATTACATCCTCGCATCATCCCAGTAGAGAAACATGGAGATGATATGGGATATTCTCATACCGAGGTACTTCCAGTGACATTTCACCGCCTCCATCGCCTTTATGTGGTATGGACGACTAGCAGCGTCTGCAGATGATAACAATCATTATAGATAACCTCACGGATTTGATAAAACCAGGATGGTGAGGTGTCTAGTTTGGCATCACATGCAACAAACTTAGCTCGTGGGGACCTATATAAACCTTATTATCATTTTTTTTGTATTATTTGTATATTATGTGTAGTATACTCAGACATTTGCACAACACATTTTATTAGATGACATTTTGACAGTTCCATTATTGCATGATGGACATACTTCACATTTGACAAACAATTACACAACTTTAGACAAACAATTATATAACTTAACAAAAAATAAATAAATAACAAAATCTAAACACTACTAGATGATGCTGAAAGTTTTAACATTTTGATTATGTTGTCGACATATCTAGAAATTGTCGCATCAAACTTGATTGGTCCTTTTGTTAGCCTACAATGATATATTCTCCACATAACCTTCAAATTTTCATCACTCTTCAACTCAATACAATCCTATTTCACCCTTCCATCAATATCAATCAATAGTGCAAGAACTCGATCTTACTCACTTTTTTGTTCTCAGTGTCGAGCAACATATTATTCAAATTGGTTCTTAGAAGAGTGAGACATGTGATCTCCTCTGGGAGCTCAAACTCAACATGAGGTTTGACCCCATTGAAGTACACTTGCGCCTTAAGTGAATACTGAGGCATTTTAAGATGTTTTTCTTAACAATACATGATCCCTATTTATACAACTCTAAATTCATTTTGGACCACACAAAACAGTCGATACAATTACAATCGTACAAAACTATCAACAAAATCTCAACCCTTAAATTAACCTACCATATTTTTCACAACTCCTCTAAAAATCTGGTATCTGTATGAAGATTTTGAAAAAACCCGATAATTTGATACTACAATTTTTCAACGTTTTTGCAAAAAAAATCCAATAAAAATAGGTACTTTTAAAAGACCGATAAGTTTCTCTACATACCAATTTTTTTAAATAACCAATATACCAAATTTTTATATACACTACCGAATTTTTTACCTTGTAGTGGTCATATCACTTGTTCTACCATATTTTTTGTCCGACATTTTTGATAAGAATAATATGAGTAGGATGGAAAACTGAGGGGTGCCAGGTGAAAACAACAGGGTGGCAGGATAAACCCCCAAAGATTTGGGCTGCAACAATAAGAGGCCCATTTGGCAAAACATTTGGGAAAGTATCGCCTCCTTCTTCTAGCTCTTGTATGTTTCGCACATGCTCTAAAACCCCCAAAACCCTACTATCTCCTACCACCGTGATGGCATCGTCGCTAATCATCTACCGCCGTAGCTTGAGAGCACTCTCCGCCCTCCACCATTCCTTTTCAGCCACTTCAATACTCCCAATCAGCGGCCACATTTCATCATCACCATCATCATGTTCACGCCGGGAATCGTCGCTGAATACCATCGGCGTTCAATCGCGTTCATTCAGGTCGACGTCAATCTCTCTTCTGTCTTCTCGTTATACAGAAACCCCCGACGAGATTGGTCCTGATACGATCCTATTCGAGGGTTGCGACTACAACCACTGGCTCTTCGTCATGGATTTTCCCAAAGACAACAAGCCTTCACCCGAAGAAATGATTCGTACCTACGAAGAGACTTGTGCCAAGGGTCTCAATATCAGGTTTTTGATTATTATGAATACTCACAAAAATATAGTTAAGATTCTTGAAAAATTGTTTAATTTTGAATGCGTATGTGATTTTAGTGTGGAAGAGGCAAAGAAGAAAATTTACGCTTGCAGCACAACCACTTACACAGGCTTTCAGGCTGTGGTCACTGAAGAAGAATCCAAGAAATTCGAAAGTATTTCTTCTTCTTATTACTAATACTTAGCAGGGTTTTAAGAAACGGCCGCGATGGGGCCGTGTAAAGGCTTTTGTGATTTCGGTTGTACAGGGGTTGTGACACAAATTGTGGTCGTCGTGGTGCGAATTAACCACAATTTGTTGTTTAACCTAAAAATCATTAACTTACTGTGTTGTAGCGGCGGCGGCAGACTGTTTCTTATAACCCTGATACTAAAGCTTTCATTGAATAACCTAGTTTAGTTGAATTGATACATTTTTATGCTTTTCAATAACAGGTCTTCCCGGAGTCATCTTTGTGCTACCTGATTCCTATATTGACCCTGTCAACAAGCAGTACGGAGGTAACCCTTTATCTTAATTCTAGATATGCTTAGTTCAATTTCAATGTAAGCTATTTACTTTATGATCTCTTAAATATTAAGCTGCTTGCCGCTTTTGATTATGAGAATCATTTTTAATCGTGTGAAACAGGAGATCAGTACATTGATGGAACAATCATCCCTCGGCCTCCGCCAATACAATATGGGAGAAACCAAGGAGGAAGACGGGACTTTAATCGACAAGGACAAGGGAATCCCTCTTACAATAATCAGGGTGGAAGAAACTTCGGACCTTCACAAAATTACCCTCCCCAGCAAGGATCACAAGGATATCCACCCCAACAGAGCCATGGCCAAACATCGCAAGGATATCCACCCCAACAGAGCCATGGCCAAACGTCGCAAGGATATCCACCCCAACAGAGCCATGGCCAAACATCGCAAGGATATCCATCCCAACAAAATTATTCACCACCACGTAACATTGATCAAGCACCACAGAATTACTCCCAACAGCAAACCTTTGGTTCTGCTCCACCACAACAGAGCTTTGGATCTCCAGGACAAGGAGAAAGAAGAAATTATGCGCCGCAACAGCACTTCGGACCACCGGGACAAGGGGAAAGAAGAAGTTATGCGCCACAACAGAACTTTGGACCACCGGGACAAGGGGAAAGAAGAAATTATGCGCCACAACAGAACTTCGGGCCACCAGGACAAGGAGAAAGAGGAAATTTTGCGCCACAACAGAACTTCGGACCACCAGGACAAGGAGAAAGAGGAAATTTTGCGCCACAGCAGAACTTCGGACCACCAGGACAAGGAGAAAGAGGAAATTTTGCTCCACAACAGAACTTCGGACCAACAGGGCAAGGAGAAAGAGGAAATTTTGCTCCACAACAGAACTTCGGACCACCAAGACAAGGAGAAAGAAGAGACTCTGTGCCTAGTGATGGTGGATGGGATTTCAAACCGTCATATATGGAGGAATTTGAACAGGTCGATAAGGGAAATCAAAATGCCAAAGAACAGCCAGGTTCCCAACAAAGATTTCCACCTCCTGGCCCGGGCAATTTTCCCGGAGAGGTATGATAGAATAGAATTGAGTAATATTTATGTTTATTTAAGAGTAAGAATTTTTATTTGTAGAGAAGTAATGCTCGCCTTGTTTTAGGAATTTGGGGAAACTGGAAATGGCGAACCTATAACTCTGTAATATGTGCTATCAGAAAAAAAGGAAGTAATTTCCTTGTTTCAGTTAATACAAAGTGTGATTTGTTCTTGTTATTTTATGCAGGGAAGGTATTAATCAATGTCTGAGTCATGTTGGACGACCTGTATCGAAGTTACCAATTTTTTTCTAAGTTGATTGCATGTCCTTACCGGTGGGGTCAAAAATTGAATCTATTGAGTTGTCATTGTATATATCTTTCCATGTTCTGTTTTCATTACAAAGATGGATCTTGTATGTAAGGCTCTTACTAGCCGCCTCCTGGTTAGTATAAACAATGTCTGAACTGGTTTATGTCGGTTGGCTCTTTCTTTCTTTGATGATGAACAGATTGAATATGGTTTTAATATCACTTGTTTTGCTTACTCTAAGTCAGGGGTTATTGTGACACAATTCGATTTTCGATTTCTATTGTGACACAATTCTTCTTTGGAATCAGAAGAGTGCTTGTTTTCTTCTTCTTTTTTCTATGAAAGTATTAGAACCAAAGGTTTTCTTTTTTTCTATGAAAGGTTTCAACTTTTTGTATTAGAACCAAAGGTTTTGAGTGTTGATTTAAGAAGAAATAATGGATCATGTTGTGCAGTTCGGTTGCCTCTGTTGTTACCGTCATGGTCTTTCTCTGCTTCTTGGTTAAGCGATCTATCCACTGCTTTGGAAAGGTAAACATTTTTAATTGCAGATTTCTCTAAGATAATCTTCTCAATTAATCACCCCTTCTCCGCTGGTTGCCTGCCATTTTGCTAGGTAGTGTTGAAATTGCTTTTTATTTAGTACTATCTTAGGAATTATGTGTAAGTGGCATAAACAACTCAAGAAGCAGTGATTTATAATAACCACACGACGTGCTAAAAAGTTATGACATGTTATTTTCTTACTTGCTCAATGAGAATGCCTTTGAAATAAATGGCTTCATTTAATTGGAATTCTTTAAGATTTAGATCTTTCAAGATTCAAAGCTAGAAACAGCTTAACCAACTCTATGTTATCCTGAAAAATGCGATGTGAGGCTCTATTGTGCTATACTAGTTCGTACACACTTGTTTGCTCAAGAACAATCCATCATTAACAGTACAACTTGTCATATAAATACTATTGATAGATTAGTACTTCTACTAACGAGATTTTTTAGTATAAAAGAAATCTGCACCACAAACAACTTTTCTTACTCTATTTTTTTTAGTTTTAATTTCCTAGATAAAAAAGCCAAATGTTTTTGGAACATTCTTCTCCAACAAAATTAGTTTGAAATTATTAGTTTAAAATTCATTGACGCAAACATGAGAATGATTATAATGTATTCATTATAATTTTTTTTCCACAATTCAATAGTTAAACCATTGACTTATATATGGACCATTAATATTTGGACTACGACTCTTCACTTGTCTAACTTTAAAATTAAAAATGTGTGAGTGTAACTTACTTGACAATAGAAATTTTTTTTTAGAACATGTAATTGACGAGTAAAATTTTATATTTTTTGATATATCTCAAATAAAAATCAGTATCGGATTAATTTAAAAATTTAAATTTATTAGAAAAATTGTATATGAAAAATTATTTGTCTACAAAATTAAATTATTATTTTTTGGAATAAGAAAAAATATTATTACCAAAAAAACAAACAAAACACGCTGATCAAAATGATCCAAGCCACAAGATGACACAACTAAACAAAACAACAAGAAAACCAATTCAAAACCTATTACAATAAGCTATCACAACTAAACTAAACAACAAGAAAACCAACTCAACCTTTTACAATAAGCTACCAGCTTCCCGTTCCCTTTAATTTTCAAAAGCATGACTTTTCTAATATGTTTACTATTCAAGGCATCTCTATTACAATATTGAAAAATAATTTTATTTTTAATGTTCCACACATGATACACGGTCTCTGCTATGTCATTTTCAGAATTTTGGTCCGACTCCTTTTGCTACGGTTATATGGAGAATCCAGGCACGCAGTTCAGTAGGCCACTCACCAGGATTGTGATCCACCCTAAAACCAGCCAGGACTTGCTTCCACACTAAAACCAGCCAGGACTTGCTTCCACACCTTTTTTGTACTTGCACATTCGGAGAACAAAATATACAAATCCCATCAGTGTTTATCCCATGATTACGCATCCTATCTTTTGGTTAAAAGACGGTTCTGGCATGCCATCCACAAGGTAAAAATGGCTTTAGGCCTGTCAAGGTTCTCCAATCCACTTTAGGTTTATCACCATGCAAGAACTTATATATCATGCTAGTAGTGTACCTTTCATTAACCTGAAAATTCTGCCAAGTTTCAGAATTAATCATCAAATCCTTATTTTTGAAGACAGCCTTCACAATCCACGAGCAATGCTGTGCAGGTTGGTAATCTTTTACATCCACACTTTTCATATAATACGTTTGCAGCCACTGAATCCACAAGAGATCTTTTTTATTCCAAATGTTCCAAAGCATTTTACCAAGAGTTGCCTTATTCCAATCAACAAGGGATACCGTGTTTCTCCCTCAAACTGATATGGGATCACACACATGGTCTCAAGATATAGGAGCCTTCCTACTACCATTATCTTTACCAGTCCACAAAAATCTCCTACAAAGACCTTGCACATGAGATATAACTTTCTTAGGCAGAGGAAAAATCTACATCCAATAGTTAGAGATAGAGAAAAGAACACTTCTAACTAATTGAAATCTACCGGCATAAGATAAAAGCCTCGTACTCTAGTGATTCAATCTCTGCATCATCTTTTCAATGCGGGGTTGGAAATTATTAACAGAAAGTTTCTTGTATCTAAAGGAACCCATAAATATCTAAAAGGCATCAAACCATTATCAAACATGTTTCCTAGTGCAGAACTTTTCTTGTATCCTCATCTACACCACCAATATATAGCTTGCTTTTAAGACTACTCATATATAAACCAGTGGTAGCAGAGAAAGCTTGAGTTTTCTCCATGATCAACTGCAAAGAACCAATGTCTCCTCTAGCAAATAAGATGCTATTATCTGCAAAGAACAAATCAATGATCTTTAATTTCTCACATTTTGGATGTAAATTAAAGTTAGGATTAGATTGTAAGCTTTGAAGGATCCTATGTAAATAGTCCATAATGATCACAAATAAGAGGGGGGAGATAGGATCTCCCTGCCTCAGCCCTCTCTTTGCCTTCAGAAGTCTAAATGGAGTACCATTGATTGAGAACCTATAAGAAACAGTTGAAACACAAGCCATAGCCCAGTTATTGAACACCTAAGGGATTCTCATCTTGCATAATGTGAGTCAAAGCCTTCCATTCCACAATATCATATGCTTTTTGGATATCCAATTGAACCATACACCTGAGGGAGATCTGTTTCCTGATATATCCTCTTACCAGATTTTGAGCAAGCATGATGTTATCATGAATAGTTCTACCAAACACAAAGGTTGATTGAGTGTCTTCAATAATATTGCCAATAACTTTGTCAAGTCTTGATGCATTATCATTATCACCCAGTTGCAACCAAGTAGCCTTAGCCTGCTGCCTTAGAATATTTTCCTCTACTTGATTCAATTAAATAATTTTATCAGTATAGAACCTCACTTCCTCAATGGACTGCTTGTCAAATAAATTAAAGATCCAAATATTTATTAAAATTAATAAATATTTATTATTAATCAATTAATTAATTTTTTTTAATATATTTTTAAAATAATAAATTGAATATATCAATTTCAGTTATTATAAAATCATATATTATAAAATATTTGTTCTTAAAAAATAGTTAAAATTTGTATTACTTAATATCAAATATATAAATGAGAACAACTATAACTCACTTGCTGTAAAAAAAAACACACTTTAACTTTTTACGTTTTTTATAGTTGATTCACTAAAATACTATTTGAGCATATAACAATAATGCAGAATAAATGTGTCATTACTTAATTAATTAAATTCAACATTATTTTGATAAATTTTAAATATATATTAAAATAATTATAATATACTAATTAGTGTTTATTATAGAAAAACATACACGAGACAAATGTTTTCCATTAAAAAGCTAGTTAAAATTAGTGTTGTTTTTTACTATTACCAACATATAAATGAGAAAACAAAAATAAATAAAAAGAACACATATTTGTCCTTATGTTTGGCTCCATATCTACCTGAAAAAAGATTTAAATATGATTAGTTCATTTGTTTCACTTATTTAAGTGGAGATCATCAATTTAGGATTGAGAAAGATAGAGAGAAAATAAAGATTCAAAAGAGAGAAAAGAGAAGAGAAACTTATTCTCTTTTTCTGCAATCAATCTTACTAAATCGATAATCCTAAATTTGTTAAACTGTCAGACCGAGCTCAAATTTAGATGGCAGATTTGTAAAATCCATATCTAACTTTTGACCGTTCAAAAATAGGGGTGTTCATTGGTTTCGCAAAATCCGAACCAAACCGGAATCCAAACCAAACCATGGTGTTTAGGTCATATATTTTTTTAGTTCGGGCAAAAACCAAACCAAACCAATAAAACCCGGTTTTAATTTGTTCGGGCAACATATTTCTAAAATTCTACCCGCGAGTCCGTCTACCTGAACCAACCATATTAGTTCATATAATTTATATCAATCTCATAGATATTTGTATAAGGTATTCAACTTTAAGGAAGAAAAATAAAACGTCATTTGTGACTTTCACAACATATATGAAGAAATGAAAATAAAAATAAAAATTTATATTATTATAGAAAATTAGTTGATGTAAATTAAAAAAAATTAAAAAATTTAATGCACATTTATTTTTAATGTATCAGATCAATCCAACTTAAACCAACCTGTTATTTCTCGGTTTGGTTCGATTTGGGTTTTATAAAAAAATGTGAAAATCCAATCCAAACCAATCCATATATTTTTGATTGGTTTGAACATCGAATTCTCTGAAAAACGAACCAAACCAGCCCACGAACACCCCTACTCAGAAATTCAAAATAAGGTCTAAGCTGAGAGATATCGGCTTCACACTGAAGCTACATATTTGGATAATTTTTCACCTTTTTTATTCTTATTTGTAAGCTAGTTTGCTTTGTGATT